CTACTACTACTACTACTACCAATAACCATAGTCATCATAACAGTATCAGCAAAAACAATACAATACTAAACATGATCATGTTAACGATAGTCATAGCACCAGAAGTTGACAACAATAATAGCGACGGAATACTCAAATATAGACCCCGGATTAACAACCTCTCTGAGTTGAAGGACCTCAATATTGCATATCGATAGTTTCGTATCCTGAAGGTATGGGGGTTGACCAACCAAAGGTCCAGATATGGATCCATGCTAAACGAGCCCAAAAGAAAGCAGAAGAAGAAGCAGAAGAAGAAGGAGAAGATGAAGAAGAATAATAAGAATAATAATAAGAAGAAGAAGGAGTAGCTCAGACGTCAGGTGGAGCAACCTGCTGCAGCGAGTGTCGTCGGGAGCCGAAGTGGACGGAAGCCTCGCGGAGACCTCTCGCCTCCTGACTTTGCCCCTCGAGGTCTGATCGCGACCCGGAGCTCAGCCAGGGACTGCAACAAGGTCACACGCCCAGTTCAAGGGAATGAAGGTGTTACAGTAGGGTTCGAAGGGTTCGGGCCGGGATATTGGAGGAGTCGTCAGGATCTCAGGAAGGCAATGGGAATGCCACTGCATGCCAGGTCCCTCCGCACCGTCGCCCCCGCTCTCTGCGCGGTCGACGACAACACCGAGACTGGCAAAGGACATGTGGGTGGTTGTCAAAATTATGGTCCCTTTTTGGGTCCTTATTATAATACGGCACCTATTATTTAGGGTACCCCAAAAGGGGCCATAATTTTGACAACTACCCATGTCTTGGTGATGCGACAACATAGGCCGTCATCGCCGGAACCGATCTTCCACACAAACAAGCCCCAGAAGTGAGTCAGACTCCAGGCGAATTGAATTCCAGAGTTGCTTCATACAGAAAGAGTCCGACTTACTGTCCAGAGCACCGCAAGCTTCAAACTTTAATCCCAGAGCCCAAAGTCGTCAGAAACCCTCAAGCCCAAACCCAAAGTGCTTTGTCTGGAGCTGAAGAGAGATTCAATTTCATAAAGCATTTTGCAGATCTTCAACCCCAAATGCAGGACCAGCTGGTGAGCCTCCAGCAGCTCTGGAGCGAGCAGCGGCATCTTGACTTGGCTTAACTTGGTGCGTAAGGTCCAGTGTGCCCGCTCTGCCGGACCAAGGAAGAAGATGCTCGCGGGGACCTGATGTGCGGTGGAGAAAAGCAAGGAATCGGGATGTTTCTGGAGCTAGGAAGGCGCAGGCAGCGGATCTTGGCAACCCTAAACCCTAAACCCTAAACAGTGCACATTAAAAAAAACCCTAAACCCTAAACCCTAAACCCTAAACAGTGCACATTTAAAAAGACCCTAAACCCTCAACCCAGAGAAGCGTTTCATTGGACATGCCAAGATGCCAGGCTGATGCTCCGGGTCATTGCTTGTGCCCGGGTGGCTCAAACTCTGCGAACCCCAACTTGCGCGACTAGGAACCAGCAAAACACCAGCATGTCTGAGATAGCCAAGCCCCACTCCACGATGTCGCAACTTGCAGTTGACGAACAACAGGCCCTTGAATGGCCCGTTCAATGGGCCGGCTAGCCTCGTCTAGCTTCCCACTGGCTGTCAAGCCTCCGAGGGTAAACCACTTCCCATTTTTTCTGAACACATATTTTGGAATCCTTGTTTGCCTTACCTTCTGTTTCTGCCCCCCTCCGGGAAGTCAGAAAGCGTGAGACGCTTGTCCTTTCTTGTGGTCATGTTGCCGGGGCCTGGCCGGCTGCCTCGCCGCGGCCTCAGAGTCCGTAGGCTTACGTAGGCAGCGTTAAGGGTTTAGGGTTTGGGGTTTAGGGCTCCTTGTATGGATGATGTCGCTTTGGCTGGCGGAAGGTGGAGTTTTCTGAGAGTCTTCTTGGATCCTTCGGCGGTGGGTTTTTGCCACTTTGACACCGACGCTTCCATGACCTGCAGTCGGCTGGTGCCACGGCCGCCAACGGACCCTCGTGAGCGAAACCCCAAAAGCTTATACGGTTTAGGGTTCAGGATGTAGGGTCCTACTTAGCCATATGGGTAGTTCGCTAAATTAGTGTCCCTTTTAGGTCCCTAATATAGTACGGCACCCTTATCAAAAGGACCCTAAAAGGGATCCTAATTTAGAGAACTACCCATATGTAGAGCCTAGGTCGCAAGACCCTGCACTGCGACATGATGCATGTTTCAACTCAAAGCACAACGCCCCATCTGCTCAGGCCCGATAGCCACCGATGTGGAGTCCGCTTCAGCGCAGGCGCAAGCAATCCTGTAAGTGTATGTAAACCTGAAAGCCCTTATCCCCAAACCCTAAACCTGGTGTATCCCCGATGGGGTGTGTTCCGACCTTGTGGCGATACGAGAAAGGGCGCATTACAGTACAAAAAAACCCTAAACCCGCATCCCTAAACCCTAAACCCCTTCAGCCCCGAAGTCCTAAACCCTGCACTCATGCGAGCCCCAACCCCCTATTGATCCCTAAGCCCAGACCCGATGTTTGTTAACCCCACAGAATACGTTTCCCTCACGAAGCCCCCATAGCCCCATTATACAATCCTGATAGCAGGCTTCGATGACCCTCATAAAACCATGTAAAGCCCGTGTAGATCCCTTCTAAAAAGCGCTTAGAGAACCCTAATTCCCAAACCCCAAAAACCTAAACCCTAAACCTCAAATCCCACAACCCTAAACCCCTAAACCCTAAACCCTTAAACCCCTAAACCCCTAAACCCTAAAACCTAAATCCCAAAGCGCTTGAGCCTAGGAGCCCCCTTCCCCCACGGCGCGGTCCGCCACCTCCTCCTCGGCAGAGCCCAGCTCCGCCGACGTCGAGCCGCGCTGGCCACGTGCTTTTCCTTTAAACCTTTGCGAAATAGGTTTCTTATACGGATATTTTTAATCTTTCAGGCTTGACGAAATAGGTTTGTCATAGGGGTAGTTTTAGTTTTTAAGGCTTCTACGACATATGTGGTTTCCGAGCATGATGGTCTTGACTCCCTTTGCAGTCCTTGTTATCATTCAGGGTTCAATTCATCTGGCCAGCACCGGAAGCGTATAGTAAGGCTCGCCGCAAGAGTTTTGCACCTGAGTGCCAGGTCAGCTTCAATGGCCGAGACCGAGGTCCAGTCAACCACAGTCCCGGGCTTGTGTGTGCGTCTGTATTCATTTTGCTGTGCCAAAACAGCATTTGAGATTGCTGAAGCCGGCTAAGTCTTGCCTTTATTTGGAGATGTGACAGTGGTCTTGCCCGTTTATACCTCTTCTGAACCTTCTAGTACGGCCCTTCCAGAAAGTGTCAACGTCATCTGAGTCAAGCCAGCGGGCTGTGCATAAAATATGAGCAAACCCTAAACCCTAAACCCTAAACCCTAAACCCTAAACCCTAAACCCCTAAACAATGGTAGCTGTAGCGTGGGAAGCCAGCCCGAGTCCAAATAAGAGGGCCTCTCCAG